GGGGGGGTTGTAGGTGTTCTGGTGGAGCTCCAAGTATCCAAATTTGTGCAATATTAAAAAAGCTTTTTTAAAAATTCTAAAAAAATCAATCGTAATTTTTAGCCATTTGAAACTTGTACTTTATTCTACTGAAATTCAATCGGCTACAAACCTGCATACTCAGAATCTAATTAAAAAACTCGAAATTTTTACGAAGATTTGTTGATTTTTTTTTTTAATTGCATACATTTTTAAGGCAGTAAGCATTTGTACAGATTGGTACATTCTCATATTGGGCTATTGGTACAAAATAAAAAAAATGGGAATATTTTTTTTTGTAGTCAAAAGATTGGTACAACACAGCGATGTTCTACTGAAAAATTTCAACAAATTAATTTTCGTGATTGGGATACTGAAAAATATTTGGGATACGATTTGCACCAAATTTTGTCAAATACCCAATCGTGTGCCACTGCTTTTAAACTTGTATTTATACGGATGTTGTTAAAGAATGAACTATAAAAAAACTAACCAAAATTAAATAACAACAAAAATAATATTTTAAAACTTGTGAAAATTTGGTGCGGCTATAATTTTTTCGACTACTGTACATTAGACTGCATCACCAAAAAAAGTTTCGGTTTTTCCGGCGGGATTACCAAACCTAGTATATTTTAAGACTTCTACCAAGATATTTCGGAAAAATATTAACATTTACGTGAGCTGGACCGGTTTGAAAATACCTCTAAAAATGGATTTTTTATGAATAAAAATAGTTTCTTAAAGGATTGTTGGGAAAAAATCCCCTCAGATGACAAAACAGTTTAAGCCTAAAAATCTACATAATTTGTTTAGGAAAAACTTGAATAACTGCTCCAAAACTTTACCGATATAGACTTATGAGGTATCAGTGGAAAGGTATTTTCTCACCCTTTTTATTTCTTTTCAAAAAAACTTATTCACGTCCCAATTTTTTCTTTATTCAATACCAACACATCTTAGTTCAACATGGAATGGCACTCGTTTATCTTATCTTCCTCTTTCATATATTGAACGAGCCTATTCGCAAAGAAATTAAAAAGGTGAGAAAATACCTTACCAATGGTACCTCATAAATCTAAATTGGTAAGGTTTTGGCTGAATTATTCAAGTTTTTCTTAAACCAGTCTTTGAAAGAAGTGCAAAAACAGCATCAAAAATCTCATTATTATTATTCCGTAGAATTTTTTTAAATATTTTTATGTAATCTTTTTAAGCTTAAACTGTTCAGTAATCTGAGGTAATTTTTTCAAAAAATATTAAAAAAACTGTTTTTATTAATAAAAAACTCAATTTTTGGAGGTATTTTCAAATCGGTCCAGCTCACGTAAATCTTAATGTTTTTGCGAGATATTTAGTAGGAAGTCTTAAAATATAATAGGTTTTATAATTCCGGTTGAAAAACAGTACCGCTTTGTTTTGTATGGGGAGTGATGCTACTATATATAAGTTGACTATGATTACTCGGTCGTGCTATCATAGTAGCACAATGACACTAAGTGAATTTTAAAATTTTCATTCAATTTGGGATTATCTATTATATTTTTTGTTGTTTGTGTGAAATTTTTTATTTTTATCAGTATTTTTCTTTTAATCAAAATACGTTGAAATAAAAGTGAAAAGAAAAAACAATTTGCTAGAACCCCCCGAAAAAAAATCCTGGCTACGGCCCTGGTTTGAACCATGTCTGTTTAATTCTAACTGCCAGTTAAACATCGTTATCGACGTTATCGACACCCAAAATATAACATGTGATCGATAAAGTAGTCGATGTGCTTAACTGAAGGGTGTACCTCCAATTAGTGCTAACTAGACGGGGTACAAATGGCCTTAAATGAAGGCCAAAACAAAAAACACTTATATAAAGAACCAGTTATGTGGGATAAATTATGGTGGTCCACCCTTAAAGATTTCTCCTATAAACCGTCTATTGATGATTAGTGAAAATATTGCAAAATTTCGTGTCCATAGCTGCTTAAGTAGAGGAGTTATGACGCAAAATCTCATACCTGAACATCGGACTTCGAGGCCGGTCCGTAGAGATAAAATCCGGGCCGGTACTAAATATGGGCCGAGCCCCCCTCCTGCCCTACAAAACACTAGATACTTTTGAAAAATACTAATGGCGATTTCGTTTCTACCAAAAATGTTACCTTCTCATCGCCCTCTTCTTAGTGTTTGTGCGTAGAGGGCAAAGAGAAGGTTGAAATTTTCGGTAGAAACGAAATCGGCATAAGTGTATATTTGTTTATTCTCGTAGTATGTGCAGTACGATTTTTTTTTATAGACAAACTTTTTCTTTATGGAGAATGGTGTTTGCTATACTGTAGTACTGATCAAGTGAATGCGTAATAGTCTTTATTGTTTTACTCAAAATGCGTTCCTTTAAACTGGTATAGGCTGTATGCAAGAAACTCGTATCCTATTGATTTTTTGATTTTCCCCTCTTGTGAATAATCGCGACTTACTTTGAAGATAGATCTCCAATTTCGAGTTCAAATCTTTACGATGAAAACATTCAACACATCGAGGCATAATCATAGAAACAGCTTTAGTCAGTCCCGGATTTAGGATCTATGGGCCCATAGGCTCTTTCCGTGGTGCGGGCGCCCCTGGGAGTACAAAGACAAACAGCGGCCACGGGTCTTCTCCAGATTTTAGTTTTTTAAAGTTGTAAACATAACCTAAGTTTACAGGTAAAAATTACGATTAGGTATTTCTATAAATTATAAAAGTACATGCTTTGTAAATTTAAATCCACGTTATATTTCTGGGAGTGTCTATTCGCACTTTGCCAGTGTCACCAGTGTTGCCAGGGTCACCAGTTTCACCAGTGTCAACAGTGTACCAGTGTCACCAGTGTCGCCAGTGTCACCAGCGTACCAGTGTCGCCAGTGCCACCAGTGTCAACAGTGTAGCCAGTGTCGCCAGTGTCACCAGTATCGACAGTGCCGCCAGTGTCACCAGCGTACCAGTGTCGCCAGTGTCACCAGTTTCACCAGTGTCGATAGTGCTGCCAGTGTCAGCAGTGTCGCCAACGTCGCCAGTGTACCAGTGTCACCAGTGTACCAGTGTCGCCAGTGTCCCCAGTGTCGCCAGTGTCACAAGTTTCTCCAGTAAATTAGTATATAGTGAAAATTATTCCCAATTTTCGCCTGCCGCGCTTTTTCTATCGAAAAAATTCAATATATAGTAAACAGGATTAAAAAATCGGCCGATTTCGTCTGCGGCGCTTTTCTATACAAAACAATATGGCCACACTGGCGACACTGGTGACACTGGCGAAACTGGTGATACTGGCGACACTGGTGGAACTGGCGACACTGCTGGAACTGGTGGCACTGGTGACACTGGCGACACTGGTTACACCGGCAAAGTGCGAATAGACACTCCCTACATTTTTTTGTTTTGCACTTTTTTAATTTTTACATATGTGCATATGTATATGGGCAAATCCAAATAACAGGTAGACTTTGAAAAGAAAGCTAAATTGTTTAATTTGTGGGCACACCTATGAGCAAAGACTTTGAAGGTTCAACTCACTTAATTGGGACGTTCCAAATTCAATGACATTCTCCGTTATATCAGATTGGCTCCGGTTTTCGAGATAACGGTACTTGAAAATTTTATTAAATTTTAACTATTTGTTTAAGCGAACAGCCACACGCATTTATATTGCATTGCCCGCATTAACCAAGTGCAGCGAATACACACACGCACTTGTATTGCACTCCCGCCCAAAACCAAGTGCAGCGAACAAACACACGCACTTTTGTTTAAAAGTAATTCGCTCGTTCTTAATTTAGTATGCATTTTTTACGCAATTCTCAAATATCTCTTCGCTGAACTTAGTGAAGTGATGGGTCGCTGGCATTTTCAGCTATGCTCAACTTGCTTGACGCATCAACCCACACACGATGCTCAACAATCCCGCTTGATGAATCACAACTCTTCCGGCGTTGTCTCACGGGGCTCTGTATGGCTTTCGGCATACAGAGGTGGGACAAAGGTTACCATTGGTCACAGCGCCTACCCACATTTTTGAACTTGAATACATAACCGGTGCTCAACACTCCCGCTTGACGCACACCCCCAAAAACTCTTACAGAGTTTTTAAGCGGCAAAGCTACAGCCCTATAAGCCATAGGGACTCTGCATCACTTACAACCATGCAGAGGTGGTAACTGATGGTTGTCATTGGCCCCGACGCCACCCCAAAATATTTTTTCTTGAATAAATTTTTATGTAAATAAATTTATCCTGGTCCTGCCCTCTCACTGAGTTATTCACTATTTTATAAATAACTCTAAAATTTAGCACAATAACCTTTTTTAATATTACCTTAACTATTTCATAAAATGATAGAAATCGGTGCACTATAACATGTAGATTCCATTCAACTGATTATTCAGATATGTGGTTTGGCCTCCAACTTCATTATAAAGAATATGTTAGCAGTGTTTATGATGAATAAAAATAGTACTTAATTTCTTACCTGCTTAACTGGAGGAGCTACATGTTATAGTGAGCCGATTTCGATGATTTTATGGAATAGTTAAGGTAATATTAAAAAACGGATATGTGCAAAATTTTAGTAAAAGTACTTCAAAACTG